ATGACACTTTTATTGAGATAATAAGTTTTCTTATATAATAATTACAAATCAAAATATTTGACAATGTATTGTTGTCGTTTATATTATGTATATATTATAAAATATCTCTCCTATTACTGGTTAATTCATTGTCAGGAAAATGATAAATCGCTATAATCGAACCGTCCATCACGCCTGCATAGAGTATCGAAGCAACGCATAAATATTTAATGGCTACTTAAAAATGATTTTCCCAAGGAACGAGTCTCCCACACATAACTCGATATAATTCTGTCTCATCGACAACATCTAAAGTGCAAGAAAAAAAAAAAAAAAAAAAAAAAATTCCAATAAGTCGATGTGAATTTAATTTTTTATTTTCTTTTTCATTTCAAAAAGTGTCACGTATCATGAAATTTTAAATATTTGAAAATTTAATTCATTAAAATGTTAAAACAAGGAAAAGATTTTTACATTTTTTAAAATAACTCTTACGAATATTGATGTTAAATATTTTTAAATATTAATTTCTAGAATTTTAATTTTTAATTAATTATAATCAATTCGTTTTTAATGTTTATTGAAATGCAACTTTTTAATTATTTAAAGTAATGTCAAAAATAAAATTTTCCACTCTAGAACTTTTTAATTAAAAATTGTTTTCTTTTTATTTAAAATCAATAAAAATTTGAAGTTGCACTTTTGTTTTGATAGTCCCTTTTATTTTTTTTAAATTAATTTTTTCGATGAGAAAGAATTTTTACCCACTAGTTTTTAATTTTTGAAATATTGAAATAAATTTTTTTTTTACTGTTATAAATGTTTATTGATCTGAAAGGAATAATATTTTCTTTTTATATGAATATAATTGAGAAATGCGTTTGTTTAAAAAAATGTGATTTACAGTAGAAAAATTTTGCACTATCTCCGTCGTGTGTGAAGTTGACACCATTTTAGAAAGGCGTCTGACTAGTCATTTATATCAACTACTTGAAATTCCACTTAGAACATTTTCTGAGACATTTTTACTTTTTTTTTCTTCTATAAACAATTGATATAAACAAAAAAAAAATAATATTAAATATACACTGAAAAAATTTATTTAATTTGTAAAATATTTACTTGGATCAAATACTTTTTATTTGCTACTGAAAAAAATAAATATTTGATTTAAATGACTAATTTTTTAAATCTCAAACAAAAGCTGACAAAGTAGGAATCTATCTTGCCATTAGTCGATAATGGAGAATATAAAGTACCATATACCGACTGCTGTTAATATAGAAATTTATCTTACCATCAGTCGGTAAAGAAGAAAATTATAAAACATTTTTTATTAGTACAGATTTCCTAGTAAAAAATATTTAATTATTTTTTTCTATCATTTTATTAATAAATTAAAATATCATAATCAATAAATTGAAAATTTTCTTTCTTTATACTGCTTTTAATCAAATTTATCAAAAAAAATGATTATTTTCCTCATATCGGAATAACAAGAGAAAAATTTTTTCGTTATTTAATTTTTTAAATTAATCATGTGCATTAATCCGCGTGCAATATAGCGAATCTAATATCGCAGAGTTAATAAGAATTGAGGGTTGCTTTTTCAAGTATATAGGGGGGAATGAAAAAAAAAAATTGCTCGAGGGTAAAAAAAAAGGAAGAACGAGTTTCTTCTTTTGAAAGGCGAGGGTTCAATTTTCCAAGAGATTTTTTTTTCTTATTATTATATACGTATAGGTATATGTGTATAAAGAATATAACCCTTACACACTGATTTTTTTTTCTTTGTGTATAAATATATTTATGTATTATTAAGTTTTATCGCATTGATCGAAATGACTTTAATGTCAAAAAGGTCAAAAAAAAAGAATGTTATTTGAAATGTAAGTTTCGCTTCTTGCGAGAAACCTACGGTATTTTTATTAAAAGAAATTCGTTGCGTCATGTTATAAGATTCAGTTTCCCTTATCTGAGAATAAATCCTCGATTTCCGTCGCCTACGACTCTTCTTTTAAGAAGGAAAGAAGAAGGGCTTTGAAATCGATTTTCGATTATGTCGAAGAGCTTTGTTCGTAATGGAAAGCTGGAAAACTTATGAAAAGCGAAGCCTTCCTTCTCTTTACCTCCCACACCTCACCATCTATCTTTCTTCTTCGTCAATTTTTATTTTTCTATATCCCTTCGTTTCATCCTCTTTGCCATTCTTTTCCTCTCCTCTCTTTCTCTCTCTCTCTCTCTCTATATATATATATATATACAACTTTATTTTTGTATATTTCCGATACTTAAAGGAATTAACAAGTTTTCTGCGCTCAGCTATATAGAAAGCCACAGAGACCAGCTCTGTGTGAAATGAGTTTGTAATTATCAAGAGTTGTTGATTAAGAAATACGAGGAACATTCGTGACAAAGAGACTCCAATAAAGTTCAATTAGTGTTTTTGCTTGACTTCTCAGTTCGTTGCTAATTGTTCTTTGAATTCACTATTTATCTTTCATTTTGTTAACTTTTTGTATTGTAAATTGTTTTCGCAAAGAACTTATTATTTTTTCACATCTTTTCTTTTTTTCCCTATCAGAAAACACATGAAGAAAATTCAAACCCGGAGAAAAATTAAAAAGTTTTATTTTATTAAATTTTCGAAAATTAATTTTACAAAATTAAAAAAATTATTTTCACCTATTAGTTGTTCAATTAATAATTATTTAAATTTTTGTTTTTCATTTGAAGTTTGTTAAACAATTACTACTTTACCGAATGATGGTAAAATAGATTTTAACATTACCATTAGTCGAAAATCTTTCTTTTTCTACTTTACCGACTGATGGTGATGTAGAAATCTACTTTACTATTAGTCGGTAAAGTGGGAAAAATAAAGTCTGACATTTATTACTATTGGTAATATAGAAATCTACATTATCAGCAGTCGATTAATCCACTTTTTCATTATTTAACTTCAGTATTTGTAAAAATTAGGTAGAAAGAATAAAATTTGACTGCAGTTTAAGTTATCTTCTATTATATTAAGTTAACAAATTTCGAAAAACGACACCGACCCCGTGACCTCGACACCGTCCTTGAAAAATCTATTTTCAATTATTTTCAAATAAATCAAAATACTTTGCATATATGCTGTTAGAATATCTTACAAACTATTTTTATGTAACATCTTTTTTCATTTTTAACCCGAAAAAGGGTAATTTTTTAATTGTAACCCGAAAAAGGGTTAATTTGCAATTTTTAAAAATTTTTTTGATTTTTTCAATTTTTTATTATTATTTTTTATTATTTATTGTTGTTTTTTCAATTTTTAGTTAGTAACCTATAATATTGTGTCTAATTTTAAGTGTCATTAAAATCAAATGTTTTTAACTTAAAAATTTTAACATTTCTTAATTTAAAACGAAACATCTTCTATTATATTAAGTTTACAAATTTCGAAAAACGACACCGACCCCGTGACCTCGACACCGTCCTTGAAAAATCTATTTTCAATTATTTTCAAATAAATCAAAATACTTTGCATATATGCTGTTAGAAAATCTTACAAACTATTTTTATGTAACATTTTTTTTCAATTTTAACCCAAAAAAGGGACATTTTGCAATTTTTTAAGAATTTTTTGATTTTTTCAATTTTTTATTATTATTTTTTATTATTTATTGTTGTTTTTTCAATTTTTAGTTAGTAACCTATAATATTGTGTCTAATTTTAAGTGTCATTAAAATCAAATGTTTTTAACTTAATAATTTTAACATTTCTTAATTTAAAACGAAACATCTTCTATTATATTAAGTTAACAAATTTCGAAAAACGACACCGACCCCGTGACTTCGACACCGTCCTTGAAAAATCTATTTTCAATTATTTTCAAATAAATCAAAATACTTTGCATATATGCTGTTAGAAAATCTTACAAACTGTTTTTATGTAACATTTTTTTTCAATTTTAACCCGAAAAAGGGTAATTTTTTAATTGTAACCCGAAAAAGGGTTATTTTGCAATTGTTTAAGAATGTTTTGATTTTTTCAATTTTTTATTATTATTTTTTATTATTTATTGTTGTTTTTTCAATTTTTAGTTAGTAACCTATAATATTGTGTCTAATTTTAAGTGTCATTAAAATCAAATGTTTTTAACTTAATAATTTTAACATTTCTTAATTTAAAACGAAACATCTTCTATTATATTAAGTTAACAAATTTCGAAAAACGACACCGACCCCGTGACCTCGACACCGTCCTTGAAAAATCTATTTTCAATTATTTTCAAATAAATCAAAATACTTTGCATATATGCTGTTAGAAAATCTTACAAACTATTTTTATGTAACATCTTTTTTCAATTTTAACCCGAAAAAGGGTTATTTTTCGATTTTAACCCGAAAAAGGGTTATTTTGCAATTTTTTAAGAATTTTTTGATTTTTTCAATTTTTTATTATTATTTTTTATTATTCATTGTTGTTTTTTTAATTTTTATTTAGTAACCTATTAAGTTAGTTATTGTGTCACACTTTTCATCTTCTTCAGATGAATCTATACTTAAATATTCTCTAGGTTCACCTGTCATTCGTTTAACAATATTATTATTGAATTCAAATACAGCATTATTCCGGAGAACTAGTAATATATGTAAAATCAAACAAGAATCTCTTTATAACGGTTTACTATAGATAATAAAAATAAAAACCGATATTTTAAAAAGTATTTCGATTTATTACGAATATTTTTCTCAAAAATTTGCAAAATCTACATGTGTTTGTGGGACAATTTACATCAATATAATATAATATAATATAATTTAAGATAAAAAAAATATATTATAATATAATATAATTAATATTGTTGTCATAATTATAATAAAAAAAATCTAATATTTAACAATTGTCATTTCATCCTTCAATGAAACTGATCAAAATTAAGATAAATTTTATACAATATTAATTACATATCAATTTGAAACATAAATTATATATATAATATACATAAACTACAATAAGTAAACAACAATAAGTACAATTTTAACCGAGCGTGCGTTAGCGAGCGAGGAATACATCGCTAGTAAAAATGATAAATTTCCTGAAACAAAAATTACTGTCATTAAAATGAGAAGGCAAAAAATTCACCATGGGAATTATTTTGATTTTAATTAAGTTTTTTCGACAAATAGTTAAAAACAGTTTTTGTGTTAATTTCAAAATCAACAAATTTGATTTCAAATTACATATTTACAGAATCATTTTCAGAACATGAAACTTTAGTAATGTTACATTTATTTGCGTTTATATTCGTAAATTTCAATTTAATAGTCACTATTAATTTAAATGCATAAATTTTGAAAATTTGTGCTATTAAATATCACCACATTTATCGTATACGCTGTTAATTTCTTTTTGAAAATAGAACGAAACTGACCCTTTTTAATAATAATTAATTATTCATTTTCTCTGTTAAAGAGAAATTCAACAAGATTTATTTATTTAAGCAGAAAATAGTTTTTTTTCATTTACTATTTATGAAAGATATATTTTAGACAGAAAGACCATTATAATATTACAATATAGATATTGTGAAAAATTTGTTCCTTTTGTTAAAAATAATATACTAAGGACTATCGGGTGTTGTCTCTTTCCAAGCAAGAATGGTATTCATATCAGTGATGCCTCGAGTGCTCCATGGTTCTAAAGGATCAGTGGGAGACGATGGAAGAGATTCTTCTTTCTTTATCTCTTTCGATTCTGACTGACTAGTTTCTTTTGGTGATATTCTTTAAAGAATAAAATTTATGTTAGTAAAATTTTATTATATTTTATAATAAAAAGAAAATTTTAAAAATTTTATCATTAATTTTTGACTAAATTCAAAAGTCAAAAATGGATAGCTTGAAGAATGTTAAATCTTTTTATGGGGTTTTTTTTTCAAATGAAACAAGAATAATTTTTTCGATATACTTTCAAATCAATTTTTTTGTGGGTGAAAAAAAAATGTTATTTTAATTTGTATTCTCCTTACCTATTTCGAGCAGTTTTAGGTCTGCGTTTGTGACTTTTGCCATTTTGATTTTTGCTGATCGTTTCAGTTGATTTGGAATCGAGTTTGAGTGACGGTTTTGCCTGTTGACTAGAAATATCTTCTGGCTCGTTCAAAAGGAGATGGTATCCGGAATTGTTCTCGACGGATGGCGAGGAAGAGGAACTGTCGTCATCCTGTCCGGATTTCCTTTTTGTCGTTACATATCTACTATTGGCAGACTTGATCCTACGAAGACGAGCTTCCGTGCCCAACAGATAGTCATCTTGAATAAAAAATATTATGTCTTTTTATATATAAGGTAAGAAAAATAAAAAAACTATTTTTTTTTAATAAAATATGAAAAAGGGTATTTAATAATGATAATAATCATTATATACAATAGTAATTATTCTTACAATGAAAAAGAATTATTAATATAATAAATGAAATATTTTATTTAAAAAAAATCACATTTTACCCCAAAAAAGTGAAATTCATTTTTGAGTTTCATTTTTTTTGGTCAAAAATTTTTTTCTCAAAAATGCATATTGCCAATCGAAAGAGCATCAAAAAACCTTTTGAAACTGATATTGATAAAAAAAAATTTATTTTGATATTTAAGAATAAAAAATTATTAAAACATGCGGTGTATTGTAAAACCCCAAAAACTTTCACCCCCTATCCCTCGGAAAAATATTGGATTAAATGAAAAAATATTTTTACCAAAGATTAACATCTATGAGTACTACAAATACCCCGAATTTAAACGTGATCGGAGAAAAAATTTTTTGAACCTTGATCACTTCGCGTGTGATCCCCCATATATATATATATGTATATGGATACAGAAAATTCTTTTTAATCGAAGATGGATGCTTAAAGGTCAATCCGAAGACCCTCGAGCAATATAATAGATAATGTGAAAATGTACAAGGTTGAGAGAAAAATTCATACAAAAAAAAAAATTGGGAAGCTGATAGAAATTCACTATACAAAAAAAACAATTTTCTTTTTATTAAAACCAATCCATCAACTTCTTTTATATATATTATATTATATGCATTATTACATTTAATAATTTATAAAAATGATAATGTGACTTGTTCTGTTAATATTTTATAATGAAAAAGATCTTTTCTAATAAATGATTAAAATACAATTTGCTTTTCAATAATGATGAATCGCAACACTATTTTTAATTGCTGAATTGAATGTTTTGTGGTTTTTTAGGATCCTTAATGTAATACAAATGAAACATAAAATTCTAATATATAGTTTACTCAATTCCATGCAAAGATTATCAACGTCCATATATAGGACAAACAAAACGATGTTTAACAAATAGAATATATAAGCATAAAAGAGAACTGCCCTCACAAAACATATTTTGATTTTGAAAAAACAAAAAATTTAAATAAAACAACTAAATATAGAAAAAGATTGGTTCTTGAAATGACTCTAATAGTTACTTCCAACTCTGTGAATAAAAGAAAAGACATAGAACGTTTGTCTGAGATTTATTTACCAATTCTTCAAAAATTTAATTAAATAAATTAATTAAAAATGTTAGTAAAATAAAAATCGTCCATTTGTTTTGTTTCTAATCGCTGTGATATTTACCAAAGGTATTGAATTTTTATAAAGAATGTTTTTAAAGTTTATATTAAAAAAAAAAAAAAAAAAATTACTGATTTTTTCCAATATTTATAAATAAAAAAAGAAAATAAAAACACTTTCTTAAGTATACATTTTTCTCTTTAAAACTTCTTTCGGCTATGCCTTTCTCAAATTTCTACAAAAATTGAGAATAGACTCCTTAAAACTACATAAAAAAAAATTACAAAGAAAAAACACATGTTAACTCCAAACTCAAATGTCAAAATATCCTCAGTATTCAGAAAACTTTCAAACCTCTAACACCGCAATATTTTAGTGCAGTCCATTTTTTCTCATTCACATAACATTGATTAAAAATTTAAAAAGAAAAAAAATTTATTTTTTAAAAATAATGTACTTCCGCATATATCAATTTTTATAAACTATATGTTATAAGGTAAGATTATACTAAGTTTTAATGTCTTCCATTTATCAAACCATTTAAAAATAGACTAATTTATATAAAAAATAATAAAAAAAAACATCTTGTTTCTTATAATATAAAAAAAAAATATCACAAACAAATAATAGAATTATGTTCCTTACTGTTAACAACTATGTAATTTACAGAAAATAAAATATTATTGAAGAGGACCCAAACCAAGGGTCGAAACGTCTAACAAAAAACATCTACTTTCATTTGTATTACATTAAGGACCATAAAAAACCACAAAACATATTCCATTTAGCAATTTTACATCTTTTGAGTCGCAAAATAGAGTCCAACATTACTATTTTCAATATAAAGAACAATATTTGTTTAACAAATAAATAAATAAATGTTTAACAAAACAAAGTTTCATTTAATCACAATATGCAAACAGGAAAAAAAGGTTAATAGGTGAAAATTTTTCAACTGGGCCATGAAAAAACGATAAATTGAATAATGTAATTTTTTCAAACAGAATCATGGTTTCACATCAATTTTCCGCTCTAATTGCCTATTTTTTAAATAAACTGTTTTACTTGGCAGGAAAGAATTTTTAAAATTAGATAGACATGTTACTTAATCTCATCCCTAATAACACAAGATATCTTGGGATATATTGATAATATCCCGCAGATATCCTAGGGATGTCCTATGGATATCAAAAGGATCTCTTAAGGATATCCAAAAAATCGGCGGTTTGGATATCCCTTGGATATCTGAGGATATCCACAGGATATCTTCTGGATATCTCTATAGACTTTCATAAATGTCCTCCAGATATCCCATAGATATCGTCAGGATATCCCACAGATATTTTCAGGATATTCTCAGTATATCTTCTGGATGTCAAGAAGATATTCTCAGGATACTGTTTTTAAAGTCATTATGAGACTACGAGTGAGAATATTCTGTGAATTAAATTTTATATAAATAAAATAAAATGCAACTTGTTTTTCGAGAAAGTTGTTTAATTTGAAAAATTATTAACTAATTTTTTTCTCATTCGTGATTCATTCCTTTATTCATATGCTTAATATTGTCAGAAAATAAATTGGCTTTAAACAATATAAATTCTTCCCCGCAACTGCCCGCAAATAACGAATAACTATTAATATTAATTATACATTAAGTGCATGAGTTTATTTAAAAATTTTGAAAAATGCGTTTCAAATCTTCATTTAAAATAAATTAGAAGCTCATAAGATTTTTGTTTTTATTATATTATTATTCATTATATTAGCTTAACAATTTTAACCTTTAAAAATATATGTTGAGATATTAAATATCTTGTGAATATCCCACAAGCATCCTGAGGATATCCCATGAATATCCTGCGATATAATATCCAATAGATATTTTGTGGATGTCTTAGGGATATCCTGTGGATATCCTATGGATGACTTGTTGATATCCCACAGACCGGCGGTTTGGATATCCTAGGGATATCCTGTGGATATCCTATAGATGACCTGTTGATGTCCCACAGACCGGCGGTTTGGATATCCTAGGGATATCCCAAGATATCCTGGGGACCATTCTAGGATATCGACCATTGATATGGATATCCTTTTGTTATGAGGGATGCGTAATAAATAATAGTAATCAATTTAAGGGAAAATGTTGAAATTGATCTCTCGATTACATCACTTCCATTTTTGATGAAATGTTTCTATATTTAATAATGTGTCAATGTTGTATATTTCGTTTGTTGAAAAATCATGTAAACTATCGCAGGCAAGTTCTAAACGTAACCTCAAACTTAAGCAGTTTTGATTCAGAGTATACGAAATACGTACATCCTGCACAGCTCATAAAAGTTAGTTAACTTCCGAAAAAGTCTCACAAATTAAGTACATTTAAAAAACAACATTTAATTTACGTAACTCCTAAAATATTTTTCACTTATAAGTGTACGTTTGACTTGGGGTGAACGAATTGTTCTACCGGTTGACTGATGAAAATTCATTTAAACTAAAATCGTGATAATTTGTAATTATTTAAACGATTTTACATCTATTAGCACATTATCTCTAAGATTAACTAAAAGTAAAATATAAAATTTAAAATATAATTTTGCTGGTATTTTGACTAGGAGTGTGATAGGATTCTTTTAATACTATACTTATATTTTATCAATATTTTTATTTATTTTCCAAACATTCTTAATACAGCAGTAACTTAAAATCAGTTAATAACAATATTAATCGGAGAAATAATAAAAATGTAATAGACATTAGTATGGAAAATATTTTATAAAAAGGTTTTTTAAATAGCATCTCCGTTTGTAAACACCAATAAGAACAATTGCACCTTCACAAAATGATTTTTCTCTTGAGATGCTTGAGCAGTAATCTAAAAATAAACAAGAAAATAAAAAAAAAATAAATAATTTTTAAATATTTTAATGCATATAATTCATATTCATGTTTTTCATCTTTTATAATACATGAATAGAAAATATAGGAAAACTACATTACCAGAAGTTTTCAAATAAAGAAATTGAAGAGACAAAACTAAAAAAATATGTGACTAAAGTCCGAAAAAGGTTATAAAATTTTTAAGCTACTAAGAAATAGGTCATAAAAGAATAAAAACATAATAATAATTTTGATTTTTTATTATTGTTTTGTATTGAATTATATTATAATATTTTCCATAAATTATTATAAACATACAGTGAATTGATAATAATTATTACTTATTATATTGTTAGTAATAATCGTTGAAATAGAAAATAATAAATAATTTTTTTATTTTTTAGCTGTTTCCTGAACGAGAAGAGGTTTTCGACATTTTCGATGCGAATACGAGCAACAGAGACGTCCGTCAATCGTATGACAATATTTATTTTTAAAAAATTCTCTAAAAATTATTAATATAAATTAATATTAATAATTAATATTAAATATTAAATATAAATATTAATATTAAATATTAATATTAAATATAAATATTGACATTAAATATTAATATTCAATATTAATATAATTAAAATTATCGGAGAATTCAAATTAAAATCGGTTGCGCGCAACTTCCAGTAAATAATTTCAGCCAATCAGCGCTCGGACTTCTGTGTTCCACCACCACCAGCGTCGAGAGTCACTTCCATATTATCAGCCAATCAGCGCCCGGCGTTCTGCGTTCCACCACCTCTAGCGTCGCGCGCAACTCCAGCGACACTTGTCGAGGCTTCATGC